GTAGGGTACGTATTGCAACTAGACACTGGCAGATGCTAAATGTCTACCAAGATGCACAAATATACCTAAGAATTGTTTTCTTGTCAGGAGTTTGTTGGATTGTAAGAATTCTGGCTGCCATATTTGAATCTAAATGGTTGGATTTTGGTTTTACAATTCTTTGTGGACTTCAAGAACTTTGTGTTGCTGTTGCAAATATGACCACCAATCGTACACGTGTACTGACGACGATAAGCAGTGACTTAGTTATTCAACCTTAAGGATGTAATTAAGTGAAATTAAAAAAATCTAGAATTTCAATAGATACTATAAGTCAGAAGAGCATTAGTTAAGGAACAAAATAAGATAAAATATTGATAGTTTATGGAACTCCTTTTTGAGATATTTGATTTGTAGAAAAATGGTGGGAAAAGTGTGACTCGGACTTTTATCTTTCATTTAGCATTGGCATTAGCTGGGTCCCAAATCGTAAGAAAAAAAATCTAGAATCTGCTTAAATTTTGGTAATGACCTTTTTTTGAGCTATTGTAGTCTTCTGTGAAAAGAACAATGGGTGATATGGGATAAAATATTTTACTGTACTAATGTTAACGAGGCCGGGATAAGGTACCGGTACTTGATGTATCAATTAACAAATATAAATATGTTAATTGAATTTTGTTTCAGGGGGAAAAAAAAACAAAAAAAAAACCATATAATACATACATATAAGATATGGAGGATTAGATGCAACTTACATTGTACACTTACATTTAACAATAAATTTGCAGGAAGAAAAATATATGTCAAATAAACCACATATTTATACAATTTTACAAATTTTAAAAATATTGATAACAGTTTCAAGATAATCAGTTTTTAGTTATTCGCAATACTTTAATACATTTGGTAAATACTTAAAAACAATTTTGTAATAGTGATTTTCTTTCCTTATAGAAAAATTTATATTGACAAATATAATGAAACTAATCACCGATCTTTGAAGATCACACAAATCATAAATACGGTCCCGTTTCACACCCCAGAAACGACCTTGTTCTATACATGCTATAGGTAATCTATGATTTTCGCATCTGTTAATATAATACCAATATCCCTTTCTAATGTCTTTCACTGAACTTTGAGATGAAAAACAGCAATAAAAGCGCTATTCCTTTGTTTTTGTGTGTTTTTTGCTGTGCATGTACTGATTTTTTGTCATGGATGGATACCCAAGAACCTTATTTTTTCTATAAGTTTACACTATTATTTAGGGGCCAGCTGAAGAAGCCCTCCTCCAGGTGCGGGATTGTCTCGCTGCGATGAAGACCCATTTAGGGCCTTTGGCTATTTTCTGCTCTTTGGTATGGTTGTTGTTCAAATTAATAAATACTTGTAAAGATTCTAAGATTTAAACAATTAGTACAGTCAAATACATTTTTAGACCTATATTGTTTAAACTAATCGCATAAAAATTGTTTTACAGTGCAACCTTGGATAGATTAATAACTTTGGTTGAGACTGTGGTAACCAATTTTCGGGCAAAAGGCAATCATTTAGAATTTTTTCTTTACAACATACTAATTTAAATTATTTTTTACAATGCATATTATATAATAATTTGTACACTGTAGCAGAAATTGTATCCTTCTTTTGACAAACAAATCTTGGCCAAAAACCAATTCTAAATGACATCTAGCAAGCTCACCATACAATATACAGATTGTAGTAGACTTCATAATCCCAATCTGATCGTATAAAATTGTAAACAGAAAGACTTAATTACCTTGTTATTGTCGAAACTCTAAACTTCACAATCATAAAGAATTAAATTATATAATTAATAACTGTATCAAATATTTCTAACTGCAAATTAGTTGGAAAATTCAATTTGCTGCTTTTCCTCATGACGCAGAGCATTACTTTTCCTTCTTGACTAATAAGTTTAGTCTTATTTTTGCCGAATGAACCGTTTGACTTAAAACAGTACCAAAACATGTTTAATTTTATCTACTATGTCAATGTTTTCACCACTATATGTAAACACATAAATAACCTTAGTTTTGAAAGTACGTTGGTTAAAAAAGATGATAATTAGGTACAGAAGTTAAACGGCTTAACAAAACAACTCAATAAAGTGATGCAACGATAAGTATTGGACATTTTGGATTAACTTTGTTTTTGTATAAAGGAAAAATAACTCCCCCTGATCATGAGTCAGATATTACGCCTGTATCAAAACAACTAGTATACATTTTTATGTAGGGCCTGCTAAAGCCCGCCTCCAGGTGCGAGATTTTCTCGCTGTGATGAAGACCCATTGGTGGCCTTGAGCTGTTTTCTGCTCTTTGGTCGGGTTGTTGTCTCTTTGGCACATTCCCCTGTTCCATTCCATTCTTAATTTTATTGTATAACTTGACACATACAGATAACATTATACTAGATGAAGGCTTCAAAAACTCATTTAAGATCAAATCACTACCGTTTGCTTTATATTATTGTAAGTTTTTTTTATGGCTTAAAAAACATCTTTTTTAACTATATAATTATCATTAAATTATGTATTTGAATTTCCAATTTCATTTACAACAACATTTTCAAAAGTTTCCTCATATGCAACATAAGAATGTATAGTATTCAGAATCTATAAAAGATCAAGAAAAACAATGATATTTTATTAAATACTATTCTGTTTATTACTGTTTCTACATGCTTTTTAACAATGTCCAATACGATTATGTCTAAAACCTCTCAGTGTCCGGACAACCGTTTTATCATACAAATTAAATAGAATATTAAAAGTTTGTTATACTCTTTTTTACTTCTAACTACATTGCATTTGCGCCCAGTATTAAAGACTCTCCAATTGTATTTATTAAGCTTTGTACTATTTTTTTTTCATGAACCAATGCTTGTTTACCTTATTTGAACTATCACATGTATTTATGAATCTGTGTTTATTTGCACTACCAACTTTATGTACATTTCCTATGTTTGACCTATAATTGTTTACTTTTTACACATTGTGTCTTGGATGGAGAGTTGTCTCATTGGGACTTATACCACATCTTTTTATTTCTATTTAAACAATTTAACCTTTGAAAATTTAGGGACAGCAACCCAACAACGGGTTGTCTGATGCGTCTGAAAATTTCAGGGCTGATAGATCTTGACCTGATAAACATTTTTCATTCCATAAAGGCAACAGTAGTATACCGCTATTCAAAAGTCATAAATCGATAGAGAGAAAACAAATCCGGGTGACAAACTAAAACCGAGGGAAACACATCAACTATAAGAGGAAAACAACGAAATAACAGAACACAGAAGTGCAACAAAAAACAGATTTGCTCTAAATGCTTAAGTTTCAGAGATATAAGCCAAAAACTGCATTTTACCCCAATGTTCTTTTTTTAGCCATGGCGGCCATCATGGTTGATGGGCGGGGTCATCGGATATATTTTTCAAATTAAATACCCTAAGGATGATTTAGGCCAAGTTTGGCTTGATTTGGCCCAGTAGTTTTAGAGGAGAATATTTTTGTAAAAGTTAACGGACGACGACGACGACGACGGACAACGACGGGCGACGACGGACGACATACGACGGACGCCAAGTGGTGAGAAAAGCTCACTTGTTCCTTTTGGGCCAGGTGAGCTAATGAATCGGACCCATAATTTTTAATCTCTCATCTTTCATAAAAATTTGACTTAGTGAAAATACCATGTATATTTTTCCTAGTAATGATAAAGGAAAGACTAATGTACACTTTGGAATATTAGATCAATACGGATGCACCTTTGTAGTGTTCATGCATCATAGAAAGAAATGAGTCTGGACTTTATGGCAAGTTGTTAACCTCTGTGTCATTTGGTCTCTGGTGAAGATTTGTCTCCTGGCAATCATGCTACATCTTCTTAAATTTATATAAACTTTGTTGCATAAATTTATTACAAATGTACAAAAGTGTTCTCTATATTATGTTTATTAAATATAAAAAAAACAATGACTGTTTTATCAGTTGATATTGTATTATTCAATGTGTATATGTGTTAACTCTCTTATTCAATAAAATCATCTCATTGTTTATTTTTCCGATTATGTTTACAATATTTGAAGATAAAAACAACTAAACATACAATAACAGTAAGATTCGTTTAAAACCAACACGAAGAACCCTAGATGACAGCCGGTAAATTTTCGTTAAAACCATCGTTTGTTATAGAGGACACGTCTCTGCACAGTTTTACTATATTCCTTGTGTGAACAAGTACGATTCTGTTATACCGTGGTAACTTTCAAGTATTTCACACGCACACCAAAATATGGTTAGACTATGTAATTGATATGTTGTGTAGTGTTTGAACTCGTTTGTTTTTTTTTTTGAAGATATATCTACTCTTTCTATTCTTTGTAGTTTGATAATTGCTGCATGACACTTTTCTACATGAGAGTAAGTATGCATACATTACCAAAAAAAAAAAAAAAAACAAAAAAACAAAAATCCTGAATTTGCTGTGTTGTGCTTTCATTAAAAACCTTAAAGATCAATTTGAAAAATAACCCCTTTGTCATTCTTTGATAGACGAATCACCCACAGCTGTAAATTACAGAGTATTTTCAGGTAATTTCCCTTTTCTATTTGGATAATACAAATTCCGTAAAATATTGTAGATTCTGAACAACCAATAACTTACCCTTTGGATCTAATAGATGGTAAAATACTAATAGACAAAGCAGAAAGAAAAAAAAAACAAAACAAATATTAGAGGTATGAACCAACGGCAACCACTGAATTCCAGACTTGTGACTTTGCATAGGAACACACAGAATGTTGGGGGTTAAACGTGTTTATGAGCTCTCACCTCTCCCACTGACCTGGGACACGTACCACGGCGCAAAATAAGAACAAACTGTACAAATCAGTTGCAAAAGGGTTAACTTAATAAATCAGTACGAAGCACATATAAACCAACTAACATGAAACATTAAACAAACCTCATCGATATAAGAGTACTCACAGTTACTGAAAGCTAGTTCATAGCCATTTACAACTAATGAATAAATCCCAGACTAAATAATGTTGCTTTAATCTAACTGGTTTTAAAATTGTATTCTTTTGTTGGGCTGTTTTATCACTGTCGTTAGAGGGATGGTCGTTCAAAAACCTGTTTTACCTCGCCACATTATATATATGCCTGTCCATAGTCAGACGCCTGTAATTAAGTAATTATGGTTAATTGCTGTATGTCATATTTGTTTTTCGCTTCTTGTTAAGCCATAAATCATGCGTTGTATTTGTCAGATTTTGTGATGTCGGAACATTTATATATGACTATGCGGTAATAATTTAATTTTGGATGTAACACGTCTTCTGATAGGCTGAAAGTGTTTTGTCTATCAGCTCATAGACATACTTTTGTAATGTGACCGTGACGTCACCAACGTTTTTTCTTCAAAATTTGCTCCTTAAAAATGGAATTTAAAATTAAATTAAAAGAAATGAATGTAATATTTTTTCTGTCTATTCGAAATAACCTAAAAAATGTGGTGCACACTTATAAATAACACGCTACGCGGGTTATTCAGTGTGCACAACATTTTAATGTTATTTCTTCATAGACAGAAAACATATAACAGTCATTCATTAATAGGTTTAACTCGTAGGATGTTATATAAATGTTTTTGGACTTACGTTGATAGTCAATGAAATCAATGAAATGCTTGCTAATCGTAAGTTTTATAACTGTGCAAACTTGTACTTGAATACTAGTACACCTACATTAATGATACGTGATTTATAATATCACATAACTATAGTTTGCTTATTGTTTGACTGTACATCTCAATAATTACAAGGTTTTGTGTATAAAAAATAAGGAGATATCACACATTTGTTTTTATAATGTTCTGAAATAGTAGAATTCAAAACTTTTCTGTAATAAATAGTTTCAGCTTTATTTGGTAAAATGTGACTATGATAGGACATTATTATATTTAGTATTTATATTTGTTTTGTTTTGTTTTAACCATTGAAATGTGTCAATGTAAGTTTTGTCAATTTAATACTAGATTGACCATTTAAACTAGATATTGTATGTTCGTAAAAAATATAAAGAGTATTATTGACTTTACATGTTTATTAGACTCTTTAAATACACTTAAAAACATAATACTACATGTTTTTCAATCGAATTATGTGCAGTTTATAATGCATGGACAATGTTTTAAGAGTACTTTTTAAAAGACATTTATTATATAATGGACTGCATATTGCATTCAATCTAATTACTCGCCTGTGTTTTGTTGAAAAATGACATAATCTAATTGATCATTACAATGTGATAATTTTTGTGTTTATTGTATTTAAATGTTGCATATTTTAATAAAGAAAAGTAGTCCATGATGTTAACCTCTCTATTCTCCCATAGCTTATTCATTAAAAACCAAAATTGCCTTTAATATCACTAACTACCAAAGTTGACATTTGCATTTACAAATTATGAGACATGGACATGATTAATTCGATAGTTTACGGGCTTGGATTTCGGAATAAGAAAAGACAAAATGGACTTCCTGATTCATTATGCAAATAATCAAGAAGTTAATCTGTTATTACCCGTTAACAAAAACTATTTTCATCACCTAACATGTTTTATTTTCAAAGGCTGTAATATAATTTGATATATAACCGCAATACACCGGATTACTTGTGTCGGATGTTTTCTCGACAATTACAATCTCTCTTCTTTATAGGAGACGGGCGTTCTATGTATACGCCAATTCATCGATCATTTACACCATAAATAATTTTTGTTAAGTTTCCTCATATATGTTTGCTAGATTGCATGTATCAAATGCACCAAAAATAAAATAACTCATTTGCGGCAATGAAAAATAGTTAATATTCAAAATAATATATATCATATTAGATGCAACGATCGTCTGGCGTACACATTTTAATCTTGGTAACTATGATGAATTTATTTACAACCACTAGGTCCATGCCACTGCTCGTGGAGGTTTCCTTCCTGAGGGTATTACCAGTGCAGTAGTCAGCACTTCTGTGTTGACATGAAATATCATTGATATGGTAATAAATTTACTGTTTACAAAATGTTGAATGTTTCGAAAAACTAAGGATTCCCCGCCAAAAAATAGACTACCATAGCTGTATTTCACAAAAACTTTTGGAATTTTGAGTCGTCAATACTCCTCAACTTCGACCTTAGTTTGGCCTTTTTATTTTTTTATTCGAGCGTAATTTATAAGTCTTTTGTAGACGACACACGCGTGTGGCGCACGAAATTTGAATTTATGGTATCTGTGATAATTTAAGTAGCATACATAATGAAAAAGACTTCACTCCTACTTTATCTTGAATTGGGACCAACATTAGTTATTAAAATGTAAAATAGTTAAATACAATGAATAGAAACGCAGTTATTCTCCGAAAACAGAACACTTGTAAAAGGTTAAACAGTGAAAGCTGAATACACTGAATCTAACTAAGAAATGTTACCAATGATTGATATCGATTGATAACGGTAACATGCATTATTGTCTCTCTGTGTCACACAATATCAGTTGATTGTAAGAAAGAAACGTACGCAAAGTTTAAGTACTTATACTTCTTGGTGTTTTTTCGTCTTGTGTCGATGAAGTCGAGAAAGCGAGACTAAAAAGGCATGCTATTTCCGACGGCGGCGTCGGCGGCACCAACAATGTATAAGTTTGTGAAATGATCAAGTTTCTTTGGAACCGCTAGTGGTAGGTCAATGCTATTTGGTATGTAGTTGTATTACCATTGGTATATCTCATTTACATGGATATAGTTTGGCCCTATCCGCTTTAGTCATAATCTTTTGACATCAAAAATTTTCTTAGTTTACATGTATTAGTTTGTGATGAAGGCAGTTTAAGGGGAGCCATAGGTGGTATGTCACTGATATTCAGTATTCAGTCGAATGTGCGTTTGCATATCTCATTTCAATGGCGATTGTTTTGCCCTACTCCTAGGTAATGGTCTATTGACTTTGAAACTTTTGCCAATTTTTTATGTAGTAGTTTGTGATAAGGTCAGTTTATGGGGCAACTATTAGTGGAACGTCAATGATATTTGGTATCCAGATGTATTAACATCTCAACATCTCATTTCTATGTAGATTATTTGGCTCCCGCTTCAGTCTTGTTTTATTGGCTCCATGGTATTTGGTATGCAGTTTTATTAGCATTATCATTTGATATTTCCATGGAAGTTATTCGGCCCTGCACTTTCAGTCATGATTCTTGGACAATTTGCATAGTAATCATGTTTAAATATTGCCATTTTAATTTTAAAATTTGCATTATACCATCAAAATTACAAACGCGAGACACATCTTTGTAATTACAGTTTATTGTATATATACGCGAGACACATCTCTGTAATTACAGTTTATTGTATGTTGTTGTTTGAAGCTTGGTTTATCTGTCCGTCAACATGAGCATTGACAGTTGTGCTTTATAAAACTGTTCGTTGTAGTGACAATAAAAACATCAGGTTTGTTGTTAGCTTGTCTAAGTCATTGTGGTATTTCATTCCTAATAGGAGGTTACAATCAAGAAGAATCATCTATTTCAATTTGAACTAGCAAATTCAAATTTATTCAATCACCATTGGATCAGGATTTCAAATATATTAGTTATAATCCCTTACAATAGAAATAAGCTGATGTGATATGAGTTCCAATGAGACAACTCTCCATCCAAGTCACAATGTGTAAAAAGTAAGCCTGTTAGTAATAAACTCTATGAAATTGCAATTACATTAGATTTTTTAAACGTAGCTAAACAATTTAACTTTTGAGAACTTTTAATTGTTCAGTTTTATCTCACAATTACCCCCTATATAGTTCTAATGTCTCATTTATCCCAGTGATGTGGAAATAAAAGATAATGCCGAAACCAGAAAAACTATTTCAAATCTACATTTTTTTAAGTAATGCGAAAGATGGACGACTGAACGCTAGGACTAATGACGAACGTGAAGCCAACACTAGTGGGTCCGTTCACAAATGACGATGAATATGTTGCTATTGTCTTAACCACAATTCCAGTTCCACTCATTTCTCCTTAAATGTAACACCACCTTTCACGAGCAACACTTTGGGAGTCACATGCGGAGCAAAATTTTGTTACCCTTCCGAAGCATCTGAGATCTACCCCGATTTTTGGAAGAATTGGTGTTGTTCAGTATTTAAATTTTCTAAATTGTGTTTTGTAAACTGTTTGTCATCTTGTGTTTTTTTTTTTATAGCTCTGAAGTTTGTCTGAATATTTCCTTAAAATCTTCCGTCCCTCTCCCCAATTTCTCAATTTGACATTTGGCGCATCTTACTCGTTTACATTAAAACTGTGACGTTTAGCGCTTGCATGTAAAATACAGAACTGTTTACCAGGGGTTAACTCCACCAAAAGAAACACTGGTCCTTCAGGGTGTGAGAAAAAAATGAAAAAAATGAATACTGTAAAAGTTTTCAGGTCACCAAGACGAATGGATTGATCGATACGATAAAAAGTAAAATAACAAAAATACCGAACTCCAGGGGAATTCAAAACGGAATGACCTTTATCATGTTTATAAAATGACAAAATCAAAAGCTCAAACACATCTAACGAATGGAAAACAACTGCCATAATCCTGACTTGGTACATGCATTTCCTTATGAAGAAAATGGTGGATAAAACCTGGTTTTATAGTTAGCTAAACATCTCACTTGTATGACAGTCGTACAGAATTCCATTATATTGACAACAATGTGTGAGCAAAACAAACAGAGATAAATGTGTGTAATAACTCACAAGAATATGCTTTGCAGTCTTAGATTTTTTGATACTTTGATAGTCGTCTGAAATTTAAATTAACTAATAGTGTTCTTTTACCAAAGTGTAAATTGCATGGCACATGATGCATAGATAGCAGGAGTGGATTAGCCCATCTGTGTCCGAATGTGAAAAACAAATATTTTAAGATTACATCATAAGCTTTAAATATTACACAATGTGATTTGAATATGAAAGATATGCACTGCGAATTTAAGATTACACACTTAGTATGTTGTCCATTCGTTTGATGTGTTTTGTCATTTGATTTTGCCATGTGGTAAGGGACTTTCCGATTGAATTTTCCTCGGAGTTCAGTATTTTTGTGATTTTACTTTTTACAAAA